GGGCGGGCGGGGGTGTGCAGCATGGTGGGGCCACGTCGGCGGCGCCGTGGCACGCTCTATTCATTGCAGCCAGGGTTGCGGCTGCGGTCTCTTTGCCGCCTCCCACGCACAAGCTGCGGCTGCGGCTGAACACGTCGCATGGCGGATGGCGGCTTCGCCACAGCCTGATGGCGGCCCGGCCCCAGCCGTGCGCCCGCGCGGCCCTGCTGTCCCTGCAGGTGGTGCTCAAGGGGGTGGTCAAGCAATTTTTCAACGAAAAAGAGGTGACCAGCACCCTCGTCATGGACGCGCTGCACGCGGGCTGCCGGCAGCTGGAGGAGGCCAGCAGGGCCTGGGCGGCGGTAAGCGGTTCTGCGGGGGTTTCGCGGGCGTCGCGCGCGCGACGGCGCCAGCGGCGGGGGTGGCCGAGCAAAGCGGCGGCCCTTGCCTCGGTGTGGCGGCCGGCGCAGCCGCAGCAGGGCCGACAAGCAGTTGCCATGGACGAATTGCGGAGCGCCCAGGGCCCACAAACCTCCCCACAGGCCGCCCATTCCCTGGTGCTCAGTCGACCATGGTCTGCAACCTGCCTCGCAGCTGTCCTCAGGTCGGCCCCTTCTCCCCGCTCCGCCTGCGCAGGGCACGCTCGCGGACGGCCCGCCCAGCGTAGTGATCCGCGCCGAGCGCAACACCTTCACGTTCGGCGCGTCGCTCCCGGAGGTCGCGGAGCGAAGCGCCAGCCCGGACTGGATCCCGCCCTACCGAGAGGACAAGGGCGTGCTGGGCGCTGACGGCCTCGCGCTGCGCAGCGGCGCGGAGTCAGGGCCGGAGGGGGAGGCGCGGCGTGATAGTGTCGACCGGGACGAGCGGCGGCTGGGGGAGCTGGGGCGCAAGACGGTGGAGATGCTGGCGATCGCGCATATATTCTGCGAGAGGCTCGAGGTGGGCCTCGAATGTGCCGGCGCAGGGCAGCGGGGCGGCCGGGGGCGCGCCTGGCTTCCTGGGGGCGGGGGCTCGCGTGCGGGGTGCAGGGAGCGTTTGTGGGGGTGGCGGCGGCTAGTGCCACGCAGAAAGGTGCCGGCCGCACGGGCGCTTGCGGCAGCCGGACCCCCGCTACAGCGCTGATTCGGGTGCCCTGGCGTGCAGCACGCCTCATTTCGCGCCTGTTTCCCATATGCCCGCGTCATCTCTTGCCCACGCTCCCTCTCCCATTCCCCCTGTTTCCCGGCCCCGGCAGAGCGAGTACCGCCAGTACCAGGCTCTGAAGCGGCAGGAGGCGCTTATCGCGGAGGAGGAGGAGGCGGGCCGCCTGGAGGACGAGCGGCAGGCGGCGCGGCAGCAGGCGGAGAAGGAGCGGCGTGCGAAGAAGAAGCAGAAGCAGCAGCGGCGCAAGGAGGAGGAGCGGCTGCGGCGCGCGGCGGAGGAGGACGAGCGGCGGCGGGCGGAGGAGGAGCAGCGGCGGGAGCACGAGGCGCGCGCGGAGGAGCGGCGGCGGCAAGACCGGGAGGGGCGCGAGCGCGAGGCGGCGGCGGCCGCGGCGGCGGTCGCGCAGCGCGAGCGGCGCCAGAAGCAGCAGCAGCAGCAGGAGGAAGAGGAGCAGCAGCAGCAGCAGGCGGCGGGCAGCAGCGGCAGGGGCGCGCCGCGCGGGGAGGGCGGCGGCGACGCGGAGCGCTCGGCGGGTGGCAGCGCGCTGCGGTCGCACGTGCTCGCCGCCCAGAACGGGCACCGCAGCAGCAGCCCCGGCAGCAGCGCAAGCAGCGACGCCAGCGACGCCACCGGCTCGAGCGGCCGGCCCGCCAGCTCGTCGCGCGCGCCCGCGCCGCCGCAGGGCCGGAGGAGCCCGACGCACCCCAACCACTCGGCTGCCGCGGGCGCCTCGGCCCGCGCCGGCCCTGGCCCCAGCCCGGGCCCCGGCGCCGGCCCCGGCGCGGCGGCCGCGGCTGCCGCGGGAGCAGAGCTGGAGGCGCACAGGCGGCGCGTGGCAGATCTGGAGGACCAGGTCGCGATTTTGCAGCAGCACAACCGCATGTACGAGGCCGGCGCTTCGAGCAGCGGCCGGCAGCTGGGGGACCTGCAGCGCCAGGTGGCGGACTTTTCAAAGGCGCTGGCCGACAAAGAGCGCGCGCTGGAGGGCCACAGGCGGCGCGCGGCGCAGCTGCAGGCGGCGGTGGAGGAGCGGGACGGCGTGATCGCCGAGCTGCGGAAGCAGCTAGCGGCGGCGCAGGCGGCGGCAGCGGCGGCGGCAGCGGCAGCAGGTGGCCCACGGGGGCAGCCGCAGGGGCAGGGGCAGCAGCACTGGTCGGACTCGGCGCGGCGCTCGAGCGACGGCGCGGCCGCGGGGCCGGCGGCAGCAGCGCCGGCGCCGGCGGCCGCGCGGCGGCCGAGCAGCAGCGGGAGCTCGTTGGACCCGGGGGAGCAGGAGCCTTCTGGTGCAGACGCCGCGACCGGGCCTGCAGCTGCACCCTCCGGCGGGGCGCCGGGCGGCGCCGGCGCCGCCAAGGGCTTCCTTAATGGCACGGGCGCAGCCTGGGGCGGCGCGGGCGTCGCG